TTTACGTTGAGCAGAAGTATCCAGACAGCTCTTTACATCGCTCCATAGTAACAATTTTGCTGTATATACTGACAATGTCATCAGGCCAATCTTATGGGTTTCAAAGGCTTCTAAAAACCTGGTTTGCATAGCACTCTTACAGTCACACATGCTATTACATGCATACCTATGCACATGCTCACAAGAAAAGAAACAGCTCTTCTCTACTGATATTAAAGCAATAGCTCCTGACATCCTGCTCTACTCACTGAAAAGAAGATAAAAGGCAATATGTATTTCTATTATGACTCTCTCTAGCTCAAGAGTAGATCTGTTTATTGTTGGTGAAAGGATAGTTCTGTCTGCACAGGTCTTGGCAGACTTATTTTGCTTCTGTCAGAACATATTCTGCCAACTCTGTGGGAAGCAGAGAAGCAAATGGCTTTTTTGACAGAGGAATGGCTGGTCCCGTAGTTCTTTTTAAGGCCAAATTTTCACTGACCTCGAGATGATTTAATGTTACTCAGGGATTCAGAAACCAAGCTGTAGTAATTATCGGTTTTTGGTTTTCCCTCCTGTAGCACGTACATAAATGGGAACTAATTGGGGCAGTTCCTAAACTCTTTTCACAAAGCAAGAAAGTCAGAGCTCTGAGAGAAAAGTAGGGTACAAGGTACAAAATCTTGCTGGTGATTGTAACTCTTAAACATTATAGAATTCGAGGAGGTGAACATCTGGGAATGCCTTCTCCAATAGCCTCTCTCTGGTGTGTGTTTCTTTAACACCAGTAATAAATTGAGCTCCATCTACATGCTTTTCCTTCTATCAAATCTATAAAAATGAGTTATATTGGGAGGCCGAGGCAGGCCAATCACAAGGTCAGGAGATCGAGACCATACTGGCTAACACGGTGAAACCCTGTCTCTACTAACAATATAAAAAATTAGCCAGGTGTGGTGGCACGTGCCTGTAGTCCTAGCTATTTGGGAGGCTGAGGTAGGAGAATCGCTTGAACCTGGGAGGCAGAGGTTGCAGTGAGCCAAGATTGCGCTGCTGCACTCCAGCCTGGGTGACTGAGCAAGACACTATTAAAAAAAAAAAAAAAATAGTCATAAACCTGATGAGACTCTTTGGTTTTAAGGATGTGTAAGAACAACTTCTTGGAGGAAAACCAATAGCCTACTAGACTTGATTAGACTGGGATGACAGATTTAAAAAGCCTTGGATTTTTTGCAAAGAATAATTAGAGGAAATAACTTTGTGCCAAGTGTTTGGGAATTTGTTTTGTTCTTGCCAAGTAGTAATCAGAACTCTGCCCTGTGTTCCATAAAAGCTTAAAAGTCTCAACTTTAAGCCTAGTCTGGTCTTAAACACATTCTGCTGATCACATCAAACCTGTGTCAGGACTGGGGACCCAACAACTATTGGATTGTAGTCAAGATTTCAGACAATAACCAGACTAGAGAGTGCAGGTAAGGAAGGTCTGTCCTGGAAGCATTAATACTCCTGTGTGACCCCACAATTTTACTTCTCTTACATGAAGAGGGTTCATAAAGTTCTGATCTCTAGAAGATACTTCAGAAGTGAGTTGGAGGGAAAAAGGTAGGGAAGACTGGATGTCATATTCACCAGCCCCATTATTCACTTTTTAAAATCTATATGTGAAATTATACCTAGAACATTTTCCAAATGATACCACTGTTCTGTCCTCTTTTGTTTAAATACCATTGTTAAAGCAAACTTTTCCTACAATGAGACCTTCTAGGAGAAAGAAAATAAGCATGTGAGTCCACCACTATAAAAACCTGCCTGTCTGAAAATCCCCCAGTTCTTTCTTAGAGCATAAATGAAGAAAACGTCCTTTCAGGAGTTCTTTCCTGATGGACCTCCGTTAGTGTTGATTTCGGATCAAAGAAAAACTGTAAAGTGCTTTCAGTGCTGCTCTTAACTGTGGGTGAATGTGGACAAGTAGTTTTTGAGTTGGTATATCTCTCTAGTGCTATAGCCTCTTAGAAGTAATTGCTGCTTTGATCTTTCCGATTCCATTTTGTTACAGGTAAGAGTGTAGAACTATCTGTGAATGACCTGGATGATGTTGATTTACTCATAGCAATCATGCCCAAGCATCAGGTCTTGATCCTGTATTAAGGAGGCTGTCTCTAGGTCCTCTATTGAATTTTTAAAAATTTAAGATGCGCATTGAGGAGGCAGGTGTGTGAGTCACAAGTCTCAAGTAAAGGCCTGGCACTTCATTGGTACTCAATAAATATTTACTGAATACATCTGAAAACAAGACAGGCTTTATTGCCTACTTTAAATAGTCATTTAACAGCTGAAGGTAGCATAGCTTGAGGAAAGGTTTTTGTCCACCGGGATCAGGGTGCTTTGGCCAAATTTGTTTTCAATGGTAAGGCTACAGCATAGCGACTCAATGCATGTACTTGCAGCTAGAATACCTGGATATGAAACTTTGTTGATCATCGTGTTAGCTTACATGACCCCAGACAAGTCATGTAAGTTCTAGCTAACTACTTCTATGAAACAAACAAACCACCATAAGTTGGTGGTTTAAAACAATTATGTCATTAGATCTCAAAATTCTGTGAGGCAGAAATGTGGGCACAGTTCAGCAAGGCAATTCTTCTCCCCCATCTAGAAAGTTGACTATGTTCACTCAGCAGCTGACTTTGCCTGAGGATCTGGCTTTACTCACATACCTTGTACTTTGGTGGGTTAACTGGAACGATGGGACTCAGCAGGGCCCTTTTCCCTCTCCATGTATTAGCTGGGATTCTCCTTGTGGTTTCTCCAGCAGGGTAGATGGGCTCTATTTATGGAGGCTCAGAGCTTCCAGAGAGAGTCCTTCCAGGGGCAGGAAGTAGAGGGTGCCAGTTTTTTAAAGGCTGGGCTAGGAAACTGGCAGTGTCACTTGTACAATATGCTATTAGTCTAAACAGTCATAGAGCTTTCTCAGTTTCAGAGGAGGAGACATAAATCACTTCTCAATAGGAGGAGGAGTAGCAGTAATTTGCAACCAATGGTCTACCACATTATAAAGTAGGGAGGGTGGTATACTTCTAGTGGCTGTTATATGATAGTCATAAGGATAACTGACTTGATATAAGCAAAATGCCTAAAATAAGTGTACCATTCAGAGTAAGACTGCATGTGTTTTAACCATTATTATTATATCCTATTTCCCACAATTGGTGTATTAAGTCAAGGTCCTCTCATGCAAATATCTACCTCAGAAAATGGGGCTGTGTCTACTGATAGTAGTGGCTATAGTTTACAGTAGGGTCTAGGAAGTTTGGGGGAAATAGAGATTAGGAGGTGGATCCAAGTATAGACTTCAGGGGCTGAAATTAGTCCTGGCAAATCAAAATTTCTATGATCTCAGGAAGAGACTTCTTTGACACCTCACCACCCGTCTTTAAATTTCTCTTTTATTTTAAACCAACCTAGAGTTCTATGGGTCTTTGACAATATGTTCTGTGATGCCTATCCACACATCTTTTAGGGCTACAAAGAAGAGAAATCTAGGTTCCTTACCGTCGTGGAATTTACAATCTAAATAGGGCAAGAGGGTTTGACATGAGCTATCCATATGAGGTAGTGACTCATGAATGGCTCTTTGTGTTGTGGATGGCAAGTGGTCCATGGGGTGGCTTCACTGGATCCCATGGACTCATTCTACTAGGCCTTGTTGTGCAATTGAATGAGTGCAAGTGGACAGGTGGTAAGAGGGACTTATTCCTAGTTGGTCAAATGTCACCAGAAGCAAAGTTCTTAAAGGCAGAGATGATAATCTCTGGGAGAGACCGCATAAGATGGAGTTTGTGAGTAACAAGG